GGCCTCCTCCTTGTCCCCCTCCTCTTCACGACCCCCTTGTCCTCCCGTCCGCTTTTCTGGTGGGGCCCTCAACTGGATACCGCGGCCGTGGCGCGGCTGTAAGCGCTCGCTTCCATTGCACCAAAGTTTACGTATAATACAGACCTTGCACTGCCGTTGACGCCGCTTTCGAATTCCATTCACCTCCACCCACTCGTTGTCCATCTTTAGCTGGTGGGTGGACGGTGGAACGTCGCCATGCAATGGTGTAATTGGTCTAGGTGAGTACATCTTTGGACACATACAGTAATAGTTAGCAATGTGATCAACCAGCAGAATAAGCACCTTCCTTACCGTGTCTACAAATTCGGCCGACCCCACTTGTAGTAGCTGGGCTTGCAACTGAGCGATGAAACCGGCGTGATCAGCCGGAGGATCGCCTCGCAACCTCCAAGCCTCGCGGTGCACAATATAGCAGTTGACGATAGCAATGCCAAAAGGGCCCATGACCAAAGTCTTATAATACTTCTGAAAGCGTAGGGAGAGTTACAGTGAGTAGCGCTGCAGACGAAGCTGGTCGTGGACATCTACCCCGCCCATACACCGATAGTACGTCGTCATGGCGGCGGGGTAAGGCACCGTCTCCTTCTGTCCTTGAGTACCTGGAAGGCGCCGCTCTGTTACATTGAAAAAAAACTTTTGCTGTTGTTTTTAGAAGCAACAAAATGTCATCGTAAATGTGTGTGAAAGGAATTTTGACCCTAATATTTAGCTAAATATGTATCTAAATTCACCTGCATAAAGCCCGTTGCGTTGGTAAATACTTCCCTACAGCTTCTAACACGTAGAGCGAAATGCAGCAAGAATTGCACTCTCAACAGTACAATTTCTGGTCACTTTACCGTGGGTCACGGTTTTATGAGCTAGCGCGCTTAAACTAGAACTATCGCTTATGAGTATCAGAATATTCACATTGTGGGTCCATACCCGAGTCAATGTCATTTTTGCGACCTAATTGTAATATTTGCCACTTTGGAAAATAACACGTGTGAAGCAGACGCCAAACCAGCTTTGCCTGTGTGGAACCGCTCCACTGGAGTGTCGATTGGGACAGTCGATTCGATCGTACGCTGCAGCAGTGTCTGCCTCGGTTGTAGTTTAAGTAGGTGCTCACTCAGCACAAGACATTGAAATACAAAATGAAATCGAGGAGAGTAAACGCGCAACGATACAGACTACATTGACATCACGACCTATCAACACTCAAAGAAAATACGTTGACTATCAGACAGAGTTCATGAAATGGTTTTCAGCTCGTGGCTTCCGCGACCGTAACACAGTAACAGGAGGCAAGCTACACATCTTTCTCTCGACCGATGTAATTGGCAGAAACTTTAAGAGAAACAGCGAGAAGACTGCTGGTGGTCCAACCATCTGTGGCTACGTCAGTTTTTGACTTGTATAGTCAACAGGTCATGCTCCGCCAAAACTCCAACCCTCATCCTCGCTTGAGAGCCGTGTGTTGTAGCGTTATCTACAGAGTGTTTATGTTGTTGGGGTTGTGCCCACCAACACTAACACTCTAGCGGTGTGCAGCGACAACACAACGGTGGCGCAGCGGACAATTTCTTCCGGAGACCAGACATGAGGAAACAGAGTGAGTAGGGCTAGCGACCAAAAGCTCAATACATAAACTACTTCTACATTTTCATTGGGAGCGACACAACAATGATTTGTTTAGCTGGGACAGTCGCGCCCAGTATGGAATACGACGAATGTAACGGGCCAGGTATTTACTCCGTTACTTGCTTACACTATAGTGTTGAGGAAGCTCGCAATAGGACGACTGAGTCTTAGGTTTAAGGAAAAATCAACTCTGACTTTATTTTAGGACCAAGGCCACAGCTTTGGCCACTCAAATACACGTCATAGTCCAATTGGCTAATAATGGGTCTGGCTCCCCATATATCAGCCAATGGCATGACAGCATTTCAGCACACGCTAGTCGTGTGCTGATGCACCTACTTATGTAAAGAAATCTACCTACTTATGTAATGGAGGGGCCCATTACATTACCCCCCCCCTCTTAAAGTTGCACTTACGCAACATACACAATATTACTTAAACAACTTTTGTAACTTCATTATAATAATTGTGAAATCCCTTTTCTTACTTAAATTATCCACTGTAGACAATCACCCATCCCAGTTGCCTGCCCCCTCTTTTAAAAAGCCCAAAGTGCACACAGTCCACATCCGCACTCGTCCTTCATCATGGTACTGTGCCCTTGCTGCCCGCAACCATCCCCCCTCGATGTCTCTCTCATGTTGTCTACTGTAGGGGGACGCGCGCATCGTGCTGACGACGCTCATCAGCGAGAAATTGCTGTCGCCCGGCCCCAAGAAACTCTACGTGTCCTACTACCGCAAGCGCGTGTACGCCGACCTGCTGCCCGACGGCTCTATCCGCTTCAAGGACCAGGTCTACACGTCGCCTGTGCCCTGTGCGCTGCACATGAAGCGTACACTCAACCCCTGTACGTCTCGCTAGTCCTCGTCCCGTAGACGTCCCCTCTCACCCTCACCCCTCTCTCTTACGATACATTCCAGCTCTCAAGACGGACGCAGGCTGGTCGTCCATGTACTCCGCGGCCTCTGGGGAGAGCCTCAAGGACATCAAAGACCGCCTTAACATCCGTAAACGAGGCACAAACGCTCGCTCCGTCCAGAAGGAGAAGAAAGCGCCCACGCCTTCACCCACAGCCAAAGAGCGCGTGGCGGCTCAGACAGCAGCTCAAGCCAAGCAAGAGGCTGCTCAGGTGTGTAATTGGTTTTTTTATAACAACTGAGAGGGATTATGTATTGATGTATTTTGATTCGAGCTGCAGAAGTGCGCAGCCTGTCGGAGAGAAGCCACGACGACGGACGTGGCGGAATGCAGCGCATGCCACAGCAAGACGCACTTTGAGTGCGCCACACCAGCACTGCAGAACACGCCAGCAGCGCCGTGGTTCTGCGACAAGTGTCTGACTGGACAAGCTAACAGGATCCTCGAGTTCCTCCAGCAAACGAGACGAGTGCTTGTCGAGAGGATCGCAGAGCGCCATACTCAAGCAAAGCCGATTGAGAGCGAGGATGTCACTGTGGAGGGCGAGGAGGACGCTGGTAGCGAGGAGAAGGGAACCTCTAATGAGGAATTAAAGGACGAGGACGACGCTGGAGCTGCAGAGGGTTCGGCTGTTGAGTCGGTATCGGTATCAGTGGACTCAAACAAGTCGAAGGACGCGACAAACGCTGGTAGTGAAGTAGCAAGTGAAGCCCCAGTGGACGAGGCTGCAGCTACTTCAGAAGAGCAGAACGAGACGACGTCAACGTCTGGTGATTCTCTGAAAGAGGCGAAGCCGGAGGCTGACGATGCAGCAAATGAGGAAGAGCAAGGCGACATGGACGTGGAAGACGAGGCGCCGCTTGAGGTTGCCAAGGCTGCCAACGCCACTAGTGTACGTGAGATGTGGCCAGGTGCTACGAGAACCTGCATAACGTCTGACGTTTATGTTGTGTACGTCTTAGGCCGAAGAGAAGTTCCTCGTGCTGATTGACAGCCTCATCACGGAAGTGTCGTCGAAAGCAGAGCGTGCCAGTCTGATTGCCAACAGTACCGGTGCGACTCTAGTGCATCTAGAGAAAACACAGCTCGTCCAGCTGGTCGAGTATGGCAAACGGGAGATTCTGGCAGCGACTCGGTCTGAAGATGACGACGACGAGAAGGAGGACGCAGATCACGAGGGTGGTACCAACTCGGAGGTGGACGCGCTCATCAAGATCTACGACCTGCGTCACCAGATTCTGTCGTCTCAGTCGCAGTTTGAACGGACCACGCACGCCCTGGCCAAGCGCACAGAAAAGAATTTGCGAAGCGCTGAGACGGAGCTCATGGAACTGGAGGAGGTACGCGCGGCGGAGGCCAGCGTGGTTTCTAAAGTGGTGGACCTGATCGACCAGTACTCGAGCGACTTGACGTGTTGCGAGCAAAATATCCACTTGAACGAAGCGCTGCTGGCGAGTATCACGCACCGGCGCAACTTCATTCGATCCGCCAATATCAACGACCGGTTCGCGCCGTCATATCGCTACAGTACGACCCTCATGGCCTCGAGTAGTGACCAGCTGCTCGTCACTGTGTTGCTGGACAAGCTCCGTGACATCACCGAGTCTGTGAACGAGTGGACCAAGATGGAGCGCCATTTCGAGCAGAAGACGGCCAGTCTCCACAAGTCGTTGACGCTGATCGGCACCAAGCGGAAGCGCGCGCAGGCACTACCGCCCACGCCCGCGTTGTTTGCCAAGGTACAGATTCCTCCGTCGCGACGTCTCATTGAGCGCCAGATCGCCAACTATGAGCTGAACATGAGCGCTATTCGTCGGAACCGTGCACGTATGCGCAAGACGCTGTCTGGCATTCTGAAGATCGCCCGGGAAGAGCATCTCAGCGACGAGATCGTCCACATGACAGACTTGTTGTATCAAAAGTGCCGTGATCTGAAGGCGGAACAAGAGGAGGAAGAGCTGCGCATCAAGGAGGAAGCTGAGGCTGCAGAGAAGGCGCATCTAGAAGAGGAAGAGCGGGCAGCACCTGACCTCCTGAGTACCGACGACGGCGAGGCGAGTGCAGAGGAACCCGAAGCCAAGAAGCAGCGTGTAAATGCGGCCGCTAGCGCAGCTGTCCCGCCGCCGAAAGCTGCTGCGTCCAGTGACAGGAAAGACATCTCGTCGCTGCTTGGGAGCGAGGATTCGGACGCCAAAGAGTCCACCTACAGCTCTGTTGAGAGCAAGTCGCGCGCAGACAGCGAAGCGGACCTGGAACAAGCCTCGCGCGCCATCGCGGACATTTCGTCCGTGCTGCCGGACATTTCAGGAGCCAGCGGCCCGCGGGTGGACCTTGTCAACTCGCCGCCACTTGGTGGGAAGCCTGCAGCGGATGCATCGCCTGGCCAGTTCTCGATTCGCGGAGGCAAAGCTGGAGGCGCGAAGCGCGGAAGCCAAGATCAGCAATCGTTCCTGGACCAGGCACTCGAGGTCCTGAACAAGCAGCAACAGCAACAACGCATTGGAGAGCAACAACGCGTCGAAGAGCAACGGCGCTTAGAGCAACAACGCATCGAAGAGCAACGGCGCTTAGAACAACAACGCCTTGGAGAGCAACAGCGCTTTGAGCAAAAACGTCTTGAAGAGCAGCGTCGCTTGGAAGAGCAACGTCGCTTGGAGCAGCAGCGAGAGCAAGAGCGTCGTGAACAGCAGCGCCTGGAGCAGCAACGTATGAAGAGGCAACGTCGCTTAGAGCAACATCGCCTTGATGAGCAACGGCGTTTAGAGAAACAACGCATTGAAGAGCAACGGCGCTTAGAGCAGCAACGTCTCGAAGAGCAACGCCGCTTAGAAGAGCAGCGTCGATTGGAGCAACAGCGGCTAGAACAGCAGCGGCTAGAGCAGGAAAAGCAGCGCCAGGAGCAGCAGAGACTGGAGCTTGAGCAGCAGCGGAAGGAGAAGCAGCGACAGGAGCAGCTGCGACGACAGCAGGAGCAACAGCGACTGGAACTCCAGCACCGACAGCAAGAGCAGCAGCGCCAAGAGCAGGAGCGGCAGTTCCAACGCAGCAAGGCGACAACGCTGCCTCAAGTCGTGTCGTCTGGGGCGTCTCACTTGCAGATGCTGAGCCAGCAGCAGCAACTCCAACAACAGCAAGCGACACTTCAACAGCAACAACAACACTCGCGTCAGATGCAGCACCCTCTCTACGGGGATATGCCCAAGGGAATGCTGAGCTTGGGCACAGGCCAGCAAGATATGTACGCGCAGCAGGCGGCGCAGATGGGGATGGATATTCACGACGTGGTGCGACACCAGGACTCGAGTCACTTTGCCCAGGGAGGCATTCAAAGAGCCCCGTACGAAGTCCCACGCAGCGCAGCGCAGCAGCCGGGACCGACTGCCCCACGGACGAGCTTCTATGGCGACGAAGGGCAGATGCACTCGCAGGACGTGTTTGGGTCCCAGGGTCTGCCTGGCCAGCAGCGGCCACTGTCCGAGCACCACATGTTCGCGAACGAGTTGCAGCAACACGCAGATCAGTCAAGAAGTCAGGAATTTCTCATGGGCAGGTCCTACCGCGGACACGGAATGGACCAGTCCGACAACAACGACGTCAACATGGACGACTGGGGCCAGTAAAGATGTGTATTCTTTGTCGATAACTGCTGATTCCTAAGTGTAAGCAAATTTGGGTGAAATTGCTATCTACATGTACTTTGACTGCCACGGGTCAGGTCTCACGTGGACAATTTCGCAAAGAGTCTTTGGCAACTGATGATGATAAAGAGAAAGTAGCGCTTCCATTGACGAAATGAAAACATAGATTTTGCATAAGTACTTATGCTTTTGTAAAAATACCCTAACCTTACTGATGCCCTGTACGAACTGCAAATCTCAGGAAACGGAAGCTGCTTCCGACTTACTTGATTTTTGTATTAGTCTCTGTCGGAAGTAACTTCCGCGTCCAGAAACAACAAAATATGCAACTCTCGATTGCATGTCCAATCGGAGCACTTTGTTCTATTTGTTTTCGCGAGTACAGAAAATGTGAATTTTTTTTTGAATGTGCAAAAGTTCGAAGGTGAACAAAAATAAGTTGTAGAAGGCCTCGAGTGCGTACAGGAATTGACATAATCAAAAGTACTATGTGGATTTGACGGTACTATGACAAGACTAAAAATACTACAACAAGACAAACATACTGATGAAAGAATATATTACTTGCACTATAGGTGGGTATGTTTCGACTTAACAACCCGACGCTTCCTGTCCAGGCGAATGCATCGTGCTAGCGTATCGATTGTAAGAACATTCAGGCTAAACTCGGCGGTGTCTTTCAGCCAGTGCTTCGTGTAGTATGCATTATACTTTGCCAGTATAGAATCGGTCGCGTTTTGGGCATCTGAAGCTCCCATTTGAACAGCGAAATCTCTCACATCACTCCCATCAGCTTGACAACACTCATCCGGCTAGCCAAAGCACCATCGCTTTCTCTCCAAAGCCGTCCACTCAATAACAGGCTTAAATAGGTGGCGGGTGGCGTCAGCGCTCGAGTACATTTTGTACATATCTCTCCAGTTCTTTGCCGGCGGAAGAATTTATATCGGCTCTTTGCAGGATTCACCGACCGTATGTTCTTGTCTACACCTTTGCCCGCCCATAGTTGGCTCATTCAACATCCAAAGTCGGCAGCTTTAATTTTGGTTCATTTTTTGTCGGAGCGAGGTACCCGAAATAAGCAGTACCACTATCCTTAGTGCAATCAAAGCTGGCTAATCCATATTCAAAGTCGGCATGCTGTACTCCTCTTCTCCTTACATATCCACCCACTCGCCGTACACCATGTCCTCGAAGAAAATTGCGGCGTTGACGAGCTTCGCAGCATGCAACCCCATCTTCGGCACCATGCACTGCGTGATCTTCGGCATGTTCACGTTGGCGGCGCGCTCGCGAATGCGCATGCGCGTCTCGGTCTTCGTGATCGGCTTGTCGTCGCTGATTAGCACGGGCTCCAGGATCTACATGTACTCCCTAGCAAGAGCTAGGTACTACTTGATGTGTAACCCGATCGGGTTACACATTGGGCTGTAGGGTCCCAAGCGTAGCAGGGCAAGGTCGTCGCGGGCAGGCACGAGCGCTTCCGTGTGCGAGTGGGCCGGCGCGCTGTCGAACACGACAACAATGTTCTTGTTCGTGTACTCGGTGGCGTACACCTTCGACTTCTTCACCACCTTGTACAGCTCCTCCACAAAGTCCGCGTTGTCCTGCATTTTGATGCTGCCTCGCTTGTTGCGGTACGCTACTACGCCGTAAGCAGAGGAGACTGCGCACTGGATCTGCAGGTTGGGACCTTTTGAAGGCGGAAGCTTTTCGATCGCGCGTTTGCCCTTCTTCACCCTGCCACGCGACCGCTTCACGTAGAGATTGTACATGTAGTTAGTTTAAGATTGTAGAGATTGTACATGTATTTACGGCATCTACGCGATGCTCGGTAGCATTGAGAGTGGGGATTAAGACGCGCCACACGCATAAGCTTGGGCGGCTTCGAGCGCGCGGGAGTTCTTCGTCGGAATCTCGTCGGCAGCGACAACTTTGAATGTTGATTAGTCGACATTGAATGAGGAAAAAGGGTGGTACTGCTTATTTCGGGTACCTCGCTCCGGCAAAAAATGAACCAACATTAAAGCTGCCGACTTTAGATGTTGAATGAGCCAACTATGGGCGGGCAAAGGTGTAGTGCTTGCAGTGCGGTGCGCAGTCGGCTGAATCATGGCCACAAGCATGTCGATCTTGTCTTCAATAGCTTTTATTGATTTCTCAACGGTTTGTAGTCTCGTTTCGATTGACGAGGGGGGCGACGGAACATGAGTCGCTTTGTTACGTTTGCGTCGAGAAAATGTAGTAGGGCACCCTACATGAGCTTCGCGATCAGGGGCTAAGCTCTCGGCAAGTTAGGTGTCTTCATCAGTTGCTGCTTGATCTAAGAGATATCGCACCAGGGTTTCTGCTGACTCGTTTTGAGTCCACCCAGTCCACCACTTCACCATGCGAAGTGAGCATCGTCGTTCAGGCGACGCGGACATAAATCTGTGATGGGCGCGAGCGCGGCGGAATGAGGTGCTCGGTCGCACAAGGCTCAATGTAACGTTCTGTCACTTGAGACTGAGCACTTCATTAATCCGGCACATACCGTAGAAAGCAAAAGCGGAGACAGGAAAAAACCACAAACGACTTGCCTCCGTGAACCCGGGGGCGCTCTCCAAGTGGAAGTGGAGTACTCGGAGCATATCCAACGAAATTGGTGTCGCTTGGCGCTGCTTGAATTCACTGTTCTTGCGCTTCTGCAGTCCGCGCATAAACTGACGGACAAACGCATCCTTGGCTGGATTACCAAGTCCATACTTGTTACCTTGATCGTCTGTGAGTACCATCCACTTGTCAGGTCCTGCTGCGTCTCGACGTTCGTAACCTTCGTAGTAGTTTGCTACAGCTGCGCGAATCTTCTCTGCGGTTTGGCTGGAAACCGAAGCGGATGCAGAGACACTTTCCATGAAGGCGGCTAGTAGAGAAGGTAGCTCGTGATGTCGCGTAAGCGCTGTGTAACGGGCCTGGAATGTCCGTTACTTGCTTACACGTAGTGATGAAGAAGCGTACAAGTCCAGTGATACCGAAACCAAGTACTTAGTCTGAAGGAAAATCAACTCTGTTTTTATTTAGGTCCAGGGCAGCCTGCCCTGACCACTCAAATACACGTCAACTCCTTATTGGTTGATTATGGGTCTGGCTCCCCATATTTCAACCAATAAGGTGACGGCAGTTCAGCACACGCTACTCGTGTGCTGCTGCACCTACTTTTGTAATGCAAATCTACCTACTTATGTAATGGTGTGAACCACAACAAAGAACCTATAAAATTACCTACATATGTAACTTAGGAGGGCCCATTACACGCTGGGTCGGGATACTCATTGGCGATACAAAACTCACAGAGCTTCCTAAAATATGATGTATACACATTCCTTGTGTCCTGTTTAATCACGTGTGTTGCTGTGTCGATAACAGCTCTTAGAATGATGCGGGGTGTCCTGCCATAAATACGATAGACACTGGCTGGGTATATGCTTGTCGTCCAGAAAAAATAACAATGAGCTGCAGAACCAATCATTTAAAGATTCGTACTTTTAGTCTTGTTTAGTACTAAGTGTCTTGTTTAGTACTATGAGTCTAGTTTAGTACTTAGAGTCTTGTTGTTAGGGGGTAAATCCGATTGGTTAAAATTAAAAAAAAATTATTCCTTAATCTTCTTCACTATCCTTCTTCACTATCCGAATTAAAACCAAACACCTCCCGAAAGCGACACTCGTCCGTCAGATCCTTCTCCTTTCCCTTCATTTTGTTCTCACATATCTTGTCTTTCTCGATAAACCCCGCCATATATATCCCTTCAAACTCAGCTAAACTTGCACAATTCTTGCCTTCTTTGAAGCTGTCAATTTCATCTTGAATTGGAGCTATGAGATATGCGTTTTGGGCCTGTATCTCCTCACAACTGGTACGCCACTGCTTGACGCTCGGTATACGTCGTTCGTAAATAAGCAAGATATTTTTGAAGGCGGACCCTCTCTCCAAAAATAGTATGGGCGTCCGCATCGAGCATTTGTGCCTTGTACTGACCGAATACTTTGCATTTTCTTGAAGCAAACTCTCAGCAGGCTCTCCTTGAAACTCTGGTGGCATCCAATGGCGCTTGTCAGGATACAGAAGAAGGTAGGCCTTTCGAAACCACGCCTTTGACAGCAAGTCGATTTCGTCCATCTAATAATAAAAGGCAGTCAGTGTGAGTGTTTAGCTGAAAGCTTACCGGAATATCTGTACCTGAGCAAAAATGTACTCAAACAGCGGTCCGTTTTGACTGAGCTTCTTAAGGGGGTGTTGTCTTAGCCCTTTCGGCTGTGACTTGTCAGGGAGAGCGCTGTGCTCCACCTCTCTAAGCTCCTGTCGGAGCGCTAACATTATTAGATACAAATAGTAAGTACCACATTTGCGTATAAAATATAAGATACCCACGGTACCTTCGAGTTTCTGGAATAGTTGTGTAGCGCGGCGAGAACGCTGCTCGGAGACGCGCTTGGCGCGGTGCTCAACCCACGATCTCTTGCGAATATCAACCCTGGATTCACGCGCTTTTATCCCCTTGCACTTCTTCCCGTGCTTTGAGAAGCTCGTGCGAGATATCGATCTCTCACACTTCACGCATTCTTTTGTCGTGGCGCTGCCGTACGGCACCTTTGTCATTTTGTTTTGGAGTATTTGCAGAAATTGCGTCTAAGCTGGCCATTATTTTTTTAAATGTGATATTCGATGCTGATTGGTTAAAACAATTTTTGCATGGGTTGTTTTTGAGTTGCGTCAGTGAAAGAAGTACGCTTCATTGTCAATTTGGGTGCTTACGATGGAAATATGAGGTATCTTCTTGTTGAATTTAATTATGCTGCGCATTTTGAAAATAAAATGTAGCACAAAATAGCTACAGCAATTCTGAGTTTTTGATTGGCTTACATATCATCTGATCAAATCTACTAACTTTAGATAGCTATTTTGTTCATGAAATGATTATTATTAATAGAGCTCATGCCATTAGGCTAGCAACACAATTCACCCCACCTTAGAGAGAGAAATCCTACCAGTACTATTGGTGGCTAGCTGGCATTCTTAAAACATTTAATAGTTCCCACTCGGGTCGATAAACCATAGTTAGAATTGCTTCGCTGGTGGTGTATTAACTGTATTTTCAAGATACTGGTGATTCACAGCAATAGCCTCTTGGCACAAACTTGCAACACTTTACGACACAAAGTTACATCCATTCCACTCAGTTTTGCTCCATAAGGCTTCTTTATACATTTCAGGTGTTCTTCTATTAAAATCTAATTCAAACAGAAGGCCATTTATCATGATGTTTGTCTAAAGTAAAAAAAAATAGCCCTCAGAATCTCAAACTTTTTTTTCCAGAGGGCTGATGCAACATCAGTGCACAAGACTGGCAAAGCCACGCTGCCAATTTTATTGTATATGCAGCTAGAAGAACTTTGGTTAACGTTACCTTGAAATGGCAAAACTAGCTTCAAATAAGTAAAGCATAAACGCCTCAAAAGCTCCAGCAAAGCTACACCCCGAGCGCTATCATGATGTCGGCGCCCCTTCGCAGCATAAACGAAGAGGCAGCGGTCAGTAGCTTGCAAAATAGTACTTTGTTATTTTATTATTTCTTTCCTTCTCACATATGCAAGGCAGATAACGCTAAAAACGCGTATCTTCGCGACTGCGATTACTTGTAGGACCGTCATTTTCAGAGCTGAAAATGACACCCTTCCTGCCACCCTGCCGGATGATGGTGACACCTCTGCGTCGACTTGCGCGGCAGCAGTCGTGCGACGTTGTTGCTCTCCTTCTGGGCGCCTTGTGGCGCCATCTACATAACCGGAGTAGACACTTGGGCGTACATCAAATTTACTTACCCTTACTATGTAATTAATTGATGTACAAACCGAGAAGCTAGCTGCTATCGTATCTCACACAATACATAGTTTTTTTTAGATAATCAGTGACACGAATGTAAGTTAAGCTAGAAAAAGATAAATCCCAACAAAATTTGTCCTTAAAATGAGGACGAAATAGGATGCAAGATCGTCAAATTTCAAGTAATTTTGTCATTAAGACCTTGTCTATAAGGACAAAATTTGACCGCGGCAGCGGTCGGTGACATGGTTGCCTGCTATAGATGAAGCCTGCGGTGCCAAACACGAATAAGAAACCAAGACGATTTAACACGGAGAGCACGAACGCGAGAATATCCGACGCCAAGAAGAAGGAGAACAATTTGAATCGTTGAACTAAAAGTAGTTTTAAAGAGAGAAGCCTTGGCGCTCATCCATAACTTTAATTCCCTTTCAATCTTTCCCTCTCAAGCTCAAGTCGACCACTCCAAGAGCAACCCCCTCTGCTAGCTAAGGTCACCCTTCAAGCACACGCCGACTCAAGCCGCGTCATCGGCTCTGCATATGCTGAAAAAACAAAAGCCTTCAATTTCATTTTTGCGACCAATTACACGCCGTTACTTTAGCGTAACCACTTCGGGTTACGCCGGGCCCAATAACGAAGGTTTATGAAGGGCTAAATCAGATTTTTAATGGCTGATGCTACAGTCCATGCGTCGACTCCGGTTATTGTTCGTGTCATGCCCCAAGTAATGCCCATGTGTCGAAAAATTTACTTACCACGTTTTTTTAAATCCATAGTGAATTGAAGTTGTTAGACTTAAGCAGACGGAAGCCCTTGTAGATATGCAGAAGTCAGAAGGTCGACCTTAGCACGAGCATTAGAAGAATCGATATCAGTTTCAATGGAAATGAGATTGTATCGAGTTGTATTATGGCTTGCTACCGTGAAGCACGAAGTGAAGAATGTGGAAGCGTAACAGCGTTCGACCAATCGGAGTTATGTCCAGCGACACACTCTTGTCTACATATCGCCAAAAACCTCAACATTACGTAGAATCCGCAGTTGTATCCGTCTGTCTGGATCGGTGTGTTGACGGACACGACTTTGAAGTCATCGCTGAGTGTAGTAGTCAGATCCCACGACAGTCGGCCCAGTACGTTCTTGTACGTCTTCAGGTTCATTGAGTCATTGTACAGGACATTGTTCTTCTTGCCATCCACGATAATTGCACACCAATGCATGTTCCCAAAGTTTACAAGAATGAGCAGTACATCCGCTTCAGTGAGTAGTTCCTGGACCTTTGTCTTCGTTTTCTCGCTCATAGTTTTTTTCTTCTTTGACGCAGAACTTGCCGTGACCCCGACGACGCGAACGCCGGTACCCGTCATGTACAATCTTGCGCAAAACATTAAAATCAGCGCATCATTAGCCCATTGAGGCGGCTTGAGACGGTATAGCATTGCGTAGTGGTAATCGTTGCCGTCAATGGAGATAGTATCTTGGGGGTAGGCGCGTGCAATGTTGTCTGCATTGCTCTGAAGCGTCGATTGTTGTGCCGCTGGTATGGTGCTGGCTGCATCCCGTGCTAACCATTTGGTAAACGCCACTCCATCTTCACACGAACGCTTCACGTTTGCTAAGTATGCCATGGCCTCGATCTGTTCGCGTGATAATGTTTCAATACCCGCGATGCAGACACAGTCGATCTCTGGGTTTTGGCCATTACTGCCCATGTTTTGTCCAGGTATTGTAGATATTTCTTCGTCTTCCTGTGTATTTGACTCTGGGTGAATACATCAATAACGGGTTAACGTGTGGCGTAGGATACGATTTTAAATGGAGCGGTAGACAACAACAAATCACGAGAGGTGTTAATTATAGTTGCTTCAGTAGACCCATAAAGAAACGTTAAAAAACTTGGAGCCTAAATGACGTTTAGCCATCATGTCGTTATCGCTAAACTATCAAACAAAAAGCACTACCGTCAACATCAACAATAGCAAGGCGTCTTGCAACACATTGCTTTAATCATAACTGACACAGAATCGAGTGTCTAATGACTAATTCAGAATCAGCACAAAATGAACGGTGCATGCAAAAAAATATTTCAATTCGAATATTTTCTAGCTTTCATAGAGTTTGGTGTGAGAAGTGAGCAATTTTTAGCTACTTACAAGTTCAAATAGGCAGTACAAGCGGGTAAGAAGTGCAACCTGGACAGACCATTACTATCATGTGAGCTAAGAAATGGTCCGTGATATCGAGCACGACGCTAAAGTAAATATATCGTGTAATGTTTATATAAATGTTATTTGAAGTGCTGGTGGTTTTGGGTGGAAGATGAAGATATAGTGATAGCCAGCAATAAAAAAGAGATTGCAGCAAGAATCTTGATTCAAGATCATCAGAATTTATTTTTTAAATCAGGTAAGCATGATGCTGACCCAAAAATTATAAATTAAAAAAATCGATTTAGGTACACTTGGGATCAGCGTTTTCTTCATAGTTATCCCGCTGAACCGTAGCGGAGGAGGAAAGGCCAAAACAAGTAGAGCTAAATCTAAACTATTGCCGCGTAGCGGCGGCGCTCGGCTAGTCAGCTATTAATATGAACAAGGGCGTAATAATCACACAGCTAAAAGTAGGTCTGGCGGTGTCATCCAATCTAGTCCAACGACGCCCGCACCAATCCACACTTGCGGAGCCGAGGCCACCTTGCTGTCTTACCACATAAAACGTGGCAATATTGCCCTTGACAGCCTCTGAGAACCCTCACGCTCACCGTCATTTACATTGGCAACTGTAACTATTCGGCGCTGGTGAAGCTGAAGCAGTATGCGAAGCAGGTGTCGGACGGACAAGGTATTAATTCGCATCGGGTCCTTCGAATGGGTAAGGAAGGACCTTCAGTGGGCAGCAGTGAGCAAAATATAAAATGAAGATGAGAGCGACCTTGGAGCAATAGCCATTGGACCAGTTTGAGTAATCCTACATTTGCAGCTCTTCACGCAGTGAAAATAACAAGAATCGAGTTGACCCCGGAGATTTTTTTGAATATTCTAGATGTTATATACATAATGCATCACACATTCCGTTTCCACATCTTCAGTAGGATCCAAAAGCAGCTTCATGAATGGAATTGAAAAGCGACAGTGTTGCTATCGTCGCAATGACCTTAATGTTGATGATACTATGACTGATAGGACAGCAAGCTGTTGTCAACGATGTGTTGAAACATGTAAACTATCTCACTCTTTTAAGACGTCGAAGAGGTTCCCTATTGTCGAAATGATAGGTACCGTGATGATAGGAAGAAAGGATATTCATAGCAAATAGGTACCGGTACGTGCAGTACTACATAAATGTAGAGCTTGATCGCGTTATGGCGGAAACGACAACAAGCTTCAGTACCAGTATGATGCTGCAGCAACATTCCCCTTGAATGAGCGATGACTGATATAATGAACGACTCGCTGTCAGCGATAGCATGCGCAGGTTTCGGAGACCTGTAGTGGGATCCGATTGAACACACTTGCGAGGGAAGCTGGCGCTTCCTTTGAACTCTTGCTTGTATTGTACTCTGCAAATCCAGAGAGATAGTTGAGACTCTCTCCAGCTACTCCTACATCATTGTCTAAGTATATGCCTCGAGTCTCCGACCTCTGAGTCTTACTCTACGCCAGCTCCTGCTGGGACCGTCCTCGGCCGCCAGCACAGTGCGTGGTCAGGGCCTGAAGACCGTCGCCCCACTACACCGCCTCACCAAGACTTGACCGCGCACTTTGATGCCGCCA